ATTAAATGACTTTCTTTCCCAACCATCATATACAGTATCAAAAATTACTGTCATTTCTTTAAATCCTATTTTTTGTAATATTTTACTGCTCATTTTCTCTATTAAAACCATTTCATTTTGTTTAATTTCTTTTTTATGTTGTTTTTGTTTTAATTCATCAATTCTTTTATCTAATGAAGGGAAAGGTTTTTTTTCATTTTCTTCTGTTTTAAGTGTATTTTTATATGAATGGGTTTGTGTATCATAAATTTTATTTGTGGCATTAATAAAATTGTCTTCCCATTCTATTGAAGAATCATTATTTACTCTTAATGAAATACCATTATCAGAATCTTCCATATCAATAACTACTTGATGTTTAGGTTGACAATTAGAATAATAATGATCAACATCATCCCATTCATCTATTTGTTCATTGGTAATATTATCCTTTTTATATTTATCATTGATATTATCTTTTTTACTTAATTGAATTTTTAATTCATTTCCATCTATTTGTTCAAGATCAACTGATTGAAGTGTTTTAGTAAAATTTTCATGTTTTTGATAAAATGGTATTAAATCTTCATGACGTTTTTTTACATTTTCTTCTATTCTTTGAATGATAGAATATTCATTTAAATTGAGTACTTTAATTTTTTCTATTGACTCTTGTTGAATATTAATAATTTCTTTATAATTTTGAATAATTTTTTGAGATAAATTAGCTAATTCAACACATCTTTTTTTTTCTTCATAAATTTTTTGAAGTCTTTTTTCCAAATCATTATCGTTTAATGATTTAATATCATTATAATAAATATCAAAATTATTTTTTCTTTCTTCTTTAACAATTTCTTCATATTTATTAAATTCATTTTTAATTTGTTCAATATGATATTTAGTACTTTCTTTTACTGCTAATGTTTTTAATAAATCAATTTCCATTCTTTTTAATTATGTTTTTAAGTTTCTTTTTTTATGGTTTTATTTATTATATTTTTACTATATTTTAAACTATTAAAAAAAAAATAAAATAAAAAACAAAATAAATTTTTTCTTTCATTAAAATTGTTAAATAAAAAATTCTTTTAATGAAAACCCATTTGATTTGGATTTGTAATTGGTGTTTTCTTTTTTTTCTGGTTATTTGCACTTTTTTTAAATAAGTCTTCATCATCAAACACAATTGTTTTGCTAATTTTCTTTTCTTTTTTATTAAATTTATTAAATATTGGTTTTTTTTCTTTAACTATTGTATCATTTATATTGTGTTCATTTACTCCATACAATTTATTTTGTTTTATTATTGAATCAAGTACTTCTTTTAATTCATCTTTTTCATCTTCATGATTTAAAGGTTCATCATTATCATCTTCTTGTTCAATTAATTTAATAAAAAGTCCTTCATCTTTTTCTTCTAATTCAACAATTCCTTTTGTCTCTAAATATCTAACAAATCCTGATAAAGAAGTCCATTGCGTAGAATTCATATGAATATGATTTTTATCTTGAATATATTCATTATAAATAATATTTGCATTAACTTGTTTTCTTTTATATTGTGTTTGTAATATTCTAATAAACCCATTTTGAAATTGATTAGAGAAATCTTTTTGGTATTTCATTGGATCAGAAGCATATAATTCCATCATCCTTCTATGACCTTCAGTTTCACAATGACATTTAAATCCATTTGCATCACGACATTGTTTTTGACACATTTGGCAATAATATTTAACTTTTTGTAATCCTTTTGCCTTTATTTGATTATCTGTTTTTCTTGATTGAGCATTGTAGATATTCATACTAAAACTAAATTATTCAGTGAGATAAAAACTAAATATAATATATTTATAGTTTAATATTAATAAGAAATGGTTTTATTCAATTATTTCTTAATGATTTAAAAAATGGATGATTCATTGCTTCATCTGCTGAAAGCCTTTTTTGATGATCAAAGACTAATACTTTTTCTAACAAATCTAATGCTTCTGTGGTACAAAAACTTTTATTATTTTCATTAATAAATTTTGAAAATGAAGACGTAGAATAATTTTTAAGTTTAAAGAGAAGAGAAGAATCTATGTTACAATTATATTTAGTAATATAAATATATAATTCATTAGTTCCAAATAATTGAACTATCTGAAGTAATTGATCATCAAAATCTCTCCCTTCAAAAATTGGTTCTTTTTTAAAAATTAATGAACCTAATATACATCCAAATCCCCACATATCTAATGAATAATCATATTGTTGCATATTTAATAATAATTCTGGTGCTTTATAAGATCTTGACGCAACTCGTACGTTATATTCTTTTCCAGGATGATAAAATTCAGCTAATCCCCAATCAATAATTCTTAATTTTTTTGTATTTAAATCATAACAAATATTATCTGGTTTAATGTCTCTATGCATAATTCCTTTTGAATGTGCATATTTTAAAGCTTTAAGTAATTCATATAAATAATACTGAATATCTTGAAGTGTAAATTTCTTATAAAAGAATTGAAATTTTGTATTTTCAATATATTCCATTACTAATGATGGTATCCCTGTTATGTCTTCTTTTACACAATCATATAAACGAATTATATTTGGTCCATTAATTAGTCGTTGTAAAACTAATATTTCTCTTTTAAATCTATCTTCTTTAATTGGTTTAAGACATTTAATAGCACATGGATATAACCCTTCAGTAATAACTCCTTTAAAGACACTACTATACTTTCCTCTTCCAATTCTTGATACTATTTGATATGGTTGTGGAGACCCCCAACTAATATTTACTTTCTCATAATTCCATTCTTCTTCTGGAACATTTGCTAATACATCTGCATATACTTTACTTATACTAACAGTGTGTTTTGCTGGACATTGTGACATTGGAAATTTGTTTACTAATTGAAGTTCAAGTGAAAAATAATTAAATTGAAAAGAATTTACTAATGTCAATAATAAAACTATTAATAAACTATTCATTTTAAATTTTTATAGTTAATTTGTCTTTTTCAGTTATAGGAAAAACTGACAGTATGAAATTCAACAATTAATTTAAAAAATTAATGTTTTATTATTTGTTCATTTAAGTCTAAATAATGCTTACACTGAGAGTACAAAAACTTATTTTATTCATTTCATTGGTTATTTCTATTAAATTTAAAATTTATATTATTTACTAATGATATTGTTTTAAACTAACATCTTCTTAATGAGAAAAATAATTTTTTATGACTATTTTCAATATTGAAGTATTATTGAATCTTTATTATCCTTTCAGATAAATAACTTTATTATGTTATATTTTAATGACTCTTTCATTCTAAATAATTCAAAGCAAAAAGTTATGGATATTCAAAAAAAAAATGTTTATCTACCTATTTAAAAAGGACAACTTATAATGGTAAATATTTTTATAATAACATGAGTGAATGAAAATTAAAATACATTGTTAATTATGGAAAAATTGTAATTATATTTTGAAAGATAAATCCCAAATTATTACAAAAATTAAAAAAATAATTAAAATATTAAATATTTATTAAAATTAACAAACTTAACCTTCTATAAATAGAATGCATTGGTATTTTAGTGTTATTTCAATAAACTCATTAACCCTATTTATCTGTCAAAGTTAGAGAAAAAACAACAATACCAAGTGAATAGCATGTTATGAAAAATTTAACTGTATAATAGAGTTGTTTTATTATGAAAGAATTAATTAAATAAAAATAAAATAATCTTTTAAAATTTCCAAAAGAGAAATACAAACAGTTTTTTATATGAATTAACAAATTTAAAGAATTAACATTTTAAAATAACCATAAAAAACTAAAAATAGTTTCAAGAATAAAATTTCAAATAATAAAAGAGAATTAAAAAAAAAAAAGGATAAAAAAAGAAAAATAACAATTCAATTAAATAAATAAATACATCTTTTTTAGAAAGTATTACAAACAAAAAAAGACGATTTAAAGTTAATTAAGATTAATATTTAAAAAAAAAATTCATTTACAATTAATATTCTAATAATATTTTTTCAAATTTCAATCAGTTTTTATTTAAATGAATTGAAAAAATAAATATAGAAAAAAGTAATGGTTTTATTTTTAACAACATCCTCCATCTGAATTACCTTGTTTTTGAGAAACAGATGCACGTCCTGATGGATCAAGTTGAATTCCTTTTTTACTACACTCTAGAACAGTATTTTTAGAGAATTCATCGAATAACAATTGAACATTAGTACCAAGAGTGGCAGAAGTTTCATAATATGGAATTTTATATGACTGTGCTTTTTCTTGAGCTTCAGTGGTAGTAACAACTCTATTTGAATCTAAATCAGACTTATTTCCTACAAGAACAATATATGTATATACTTGTGTATTCTTTTTAATTTCATCCATCCAATATTGAACTTGATCAAATGTTTTTCTATCTGTTACATCAAATACAATGATGATACCATTAACATCACGATAATATGAAGATACCATGGATCTAAATCGTTCTTGTCCAGCTAATAAATAAATATTTGTTATTTAAATTAACATAAAGAAAACACAAACAAACCTGTGTCATATATTCTTAATTTAAATTTCTTACCATTAACTTGAACCTCTTTAGTGTGTGAATCAATACTAACAGTAGCTTTTATATCTCCAACTAATTTTCCATTTTCTAAAACATTTAATAATGATGTTTTACCAACTGATGATTCTCCAATAATAATTGCTTTGATTTCACCTACCTTTGTAGAAACTACAGTCATTTGTTATTTTTATTTTAAAGATAAAATCATTTTAAGTTCCTTTTTTCACTTCCTTTTCTGATTTTTTGTTATCAAAAATTTTTAAAGTTCTTTGAATAAAAATTAAAAAAACATTAAAAAATTAAAAAAAAAACACAAAATAACAATCATAATAACAAAATAAAAATAAAATGGAATTTAAAAACTTCAACGTGAATTATTCATAAGTCGATCTTAAATTTTTCAAATCAATTAAAACCCATTAATGACACAACAAATTGATGAAGCCGTATTGTCAAGACAATTATTTACTATTGGAAAAGATGCTCAAATTAAAATGATGAATACAAAAGTATTAATTGCAGGATTAAATGGAATGGGTGCTGAAATTACAAAGAATGTATTATTAATGTCTGTTAAATCAGTTGGATTATTAGATAATAGAAATGCATGTTTAGCTGATTTAGGAACAAACTTCTTTTTAAGAAAAGAACATATTGGACATTGTATTAGTGAATCAACATATAAACAATTCCAAGAATTAAACAATAATGTTCCTGTTAGAGTAGAAAAACGAGAATTAACAGATGAAACATTATATAATGATTATGATATTATTGTTCTTTGTTATTTACTTTCTGAAAAACAGTCTATTTATATTAATGAATTATGTAGAAAACATAATGTTAAAATGGTTTATGCTGTTAATAGAGGACCATTTACAATGATCTTTAATGATTTTGGAGATAATTTTGTTGTTTTTGATTCAAATGGTGAGACACCATTAACTTATATTGTTAATGAAGTTGTTGGAAACACTATTCAATTTATTGATGAAAATTTCTGTACATTAGATGTTGGAAATGAAGTTCAACTTGATGAATTTAGTGGATTACCTGGATTGAATTATTCAGAAAATGGAGGAAAAACATTTAAAATTACTAAAAGAACAGCATATTCAATTGAGATTGGAGACTTAAGTCAATATGGTAAATACATTAAAGGAGGAAAAGTTACAGAAGTTAAACCTACT